TCTTTGTGCTTGGCATAATTGCAGAGGAAGCCTTCTTTGTGGTTTTTTGAACAAGCACATCATGATAAACTGGGTGGTGTTCTTGACTGTGGTTCTGTTTGTGGACTAGTAATTTAGGCTGTGAAATATTCCCATATGAACAATGCAGCTTTTAGAGGATAAAAGTCCAGGCTTCATTAGCATAAATGCTACATGCACATGCACACACACCATGGACCCACACAGAAGGACACATACACATACACATACATTGTGTTGTCTCATCCTCTTGCTGATTCATGGTCCTGATTCCCTGACAGCCCTTTGCTGCAGTGACTACCTGAGGCTGAAGAGAGCATCCTTAATATAAAGCTGCACTTAATTCTTCAGGCAAGGAACCACAGACTCCCTGGGTCAGCCTCTGATGGTGACAACTGGAGCTTTATATCCAAGTTTACTTTATTTATTCATAAGAAGAATTGACAGTCAAGGTTTTGAGGCTCCTGTACCAGCCAGTTCTCTCCTGTCTTTAATTTTCTTTTCTTGTTTCTCTTCTCTTCTCTCACTTTATATTTCTCTGAGCAAAACCTGTGCGTTTCTTCACCCAGACACATACCAATACACATGCAGACATGCACATTTGAGGGCTCTGGCCTATATCTCTGTTGGCAAGTGGCTTTTAAAGAAATCAGGGAAAGCCCACTTAAACTATGTGCTGAGAGTGTGCCTGGGATTGGCCCTTTCAATAGGTGCTGTGCCATTTGGTATGAACTGAAAGATAAAGTCTCCCTACTGTCCATCTTACAATATCTCTCCAGTTGACTTCTGAAACTCCCATATAAATAGAGGAATATCATAATTTTCAAACTAGACCTTAGGATTGGTGTTCAGCCAAATCTGAAATGAATGGTAATTTAGAAATAGATTTTATCTCACATTCCATCTGAGATCATATCAGAGGCTGCTTGCATGGGATATTATTAAGAAGGATTCTGGGGCTCCATCTGGTTTTAGTGGGAGTAAAATGCAAGGATGTATTAGGAAGGTCTGAGATAGCCATTGGATTGGCTAGTAGGATCATTAAAATATTGGCTTTATAGACAAGGGATTTCTTGAGGGGCTAATGGTGAACATACTGACATGAATTAAATTACTAGATTAGCTGCCCATCACCTCTAAGGGCTCTAAGAGAATGGAATTATGGGATTGGTGAAGATTTTAAAATGGTTTCTTTTTTAAAAATTGAGGTGCAATTCACATAATATAAAATTCACCATTTAAACTATTTTGAAGTGAACAATTCAGTTGCTTTTAGTACATTCACAGGGCTGTGCAACTATCACTGATCTTTAAATCCAGAATTTTTTCATCATACCTAAAAGAAACCCTGTACACATTAAGCAGTCACTCCTAATTCTTTCTTCCCTTCAGCCCTAGCAACCACTAATCTGATTTTTGTCTGTATGAATTTGCCTATTTTGGATATTTCTTAAAAATGGAATCATACATTTGCCCTCTTTTTGTTTGGCATCTTTTATTAGCATGACGTTTTCTAGGTTCACCCATATTATAACATTCATCAGTACTTCATTCCTTTTTATGGCTGAATAGTATTCCATTGTATGGATATACTAACATTTCTGTTTATCAGTTTATTAGTTGTTGGACATTTGGGTTGTTTCCACCTTTTGGCTATTGTGAACAATGTTGCTATGAATATTCATGTACAAGTGTTTGTTTCAACAGCTGTTTTCAGCTTTCTTGGGTAGATAACTGAGTTTCTCCACCCCCACCCATGCACTTTTGTTGATGATGAGCCTATTTGAAATTATCTTATAGGTGAGTTTTGTTAAGAAGGAAAAAAGAGTTTGGTTCCTGCCTAAATGAGGTCTGATAGGGAAAAGTTATAGAGTACCTTGGCCATGCTATGGAATCCTGAGGGGTAAAGGTATCTGCAAAGGAGGTCAGGAGAAGGAGGAGAAGGTGCTAAAATGGGATGGCAATGACCTTGAGCTTGGTGGATGGAATAAGAATGGAGTTCATCCAGAATTTCTAAAATATCTGTTGATATTTCTCTGTCTTTTAGAAGGAAAGAAAAAATCTCTGGTGGGTGTGAGAAGATGGGCTAGGAGAGGGCCAAAGAAAAGTGAAAATGGTTGTGTTTTAATAAGGTGTTGCTAATGGTTGCATTTTTAGCAAAAATAAGCAAAGCTTGTTTAGCTACTTTTAATACAAGATGACAAAATTGGTAGAGCAAGTTTTAGCATAACAAACTGAAGAACTGGGACCCCTTTACCACAATAATGTTGCACCATCCATTTCTGTGGTGATGGACTTTTTTTAAAAAAAAACACAACAACTTCACATCTATAAGCTCATTAGCATGAATGAATCAGATAGAACAGGCACTATCCACCACCATATGAGAAACAGGAAATCCAGGCACCCAGCACATTGCCTGATGATAGTAGGCATTCAATGAGATTTGTTAAATAAGTGAAGCAGAGTCATATCAAGTCAAAGAACGTGAGAGTTGGGCCCTGACTGGTGTCACTCAATGGATTGAGTGTTGGCCTGCAAATCAAATGGTTGCCAGTTCAATTCTTGGTCTGGGGCACATGCCTGTGTTGAGAGCCAGGTCCCCAGTGGCAGGGAGGTGCAAAAGGCAACCACACATTGATGTTTCTCTCCCTTTCTTTCTCCCTCCCTTCTCCTCTCTAAAAATAAATAAAATCTTTAAAAATGTGAGAGCTGGAAGAGCATCCAGAAGTCCTCCTTACAACCCATTCTTAGAGAAGGAATATCAGGGCAGAGTAGGGAAGTCTTGGGCTTAACTACAAGGTTAATTGGTCAGTCAGTGGATGAAGGACGCAAGTCAATAGTCTGTCCTTTTCTTCCATGCAGTGTCACCATAACATCCAGTATTTTGCTTTCTCTTTGTGTTTTTGTTTGTCCTCACCACTGGACCATATGCTCCTAGGGGTGAAGCTTGTGTCTGATTCATCTTATAGGATACATCACAGTTACTGAAACTTGCTGAACAGATGAACAGGATCTGTAAGCTCTCTGCTCTTCCTGGGTCTCTGCTCCTTCTCATTCTGCCACAGCTTTTGGAGGCAGAGTCAGGACTCAATCACAGTTTCCAGGCTTCATAGATCTTGCTTATACCACAATGCATACACTCATCAAGGTAGGAGCACTAGATGTCCCTGGAGGGTTGCTTCAGACCTCTCAGAACCCTGGGATAATTTTTCTTCACTGTTTTATTATGGAAGGGTCTAGAAGATGAGGGAAAGAGGGAGTTTTTCTTAGTTCAAAGTCTAAGGTCAGTCTATCCACTTTCTGTGGAATTTCAATAGTATCTTGCACACCAGGGAGTTCTGTCTTTTGCTATGTTGTCCATGTCTCAGATGGAGGTGTTCTAGTGCCTGGAACTAGTGCCTGGGGGGATCTGTGCCTTTCAACATTGGGACCTGAAAACAATGGGGGCAGAAAGATGTAATGGGATTTTCAAGAGGTTCTGAAATAATTCCTTGTGTTATCTTGTTTTGCTCTTCCTGGGGACTTCCATTTGTTCCTGTACACATATTTGAGGCAAAGCAGAGGAGGTCCTATAATGGCCCTTCTTATGCCTCCATAATAATGTGGCAAGCCTGCAAATTGCAGATGGTGGGTACCCAGGTCAGTGCATGGAGGGTCTGTCTACAGGCCCAGAAAGAGAGGCATGCAGGGATTACACCTAGGTTATGAAGCATAGTTTAGACCCTAGTGTCTGTCTTCTGTGTCCTGGTTCTACCCAGTGTTGAGCAGACCCCCATGGCCTACTTCCTAGTTGAGCTTCCATTTCCTGTATCCCATATCAACTCCAAGACCCTTATGTTGGATCCTGCCACCTCTCCAGCCTGTTAATGGCTTGGTTCTCTCTGACTCTTTCTCTCCCCACTCCATGCCAGTGAGATTCATAGACTACAGAGTGCAAAAGGAATACATTGGAAAGCTCAATGTCAGATGATGGCCATGTTATCAGCAATTCTACTCTTCCTGATTTCAAAGCAGTTTCCACACGACCTATGAGCAAAGCCAGATGGTCTTGTCATCTTGTTTGCTCTCTGTCCCTCATCTCGAAGAAGTCAAGGAAAGGTATAAATTTTCAGGGGTCACCTGGGCAGCCTTAGGTGCCCATGTGAAAGGGCTAGTAGCCTTAGGAGTATGAGAAGCAGCCTTGGCATCCCCCCTGAGGGGGCCAATTCAAATTCTTCAGCCTTATCATGGCAGGGTGGTTGGGTGAGTCTCTTCCTTCCCATCTTTGCTGAAAGTGAGTCTCCCCAGTCCTCTGAGGTGGCATCTACTGCCCTAGGGGCTTCAGTGGGATGTGTGAAGATATAAGGCTGTGCTGGTCTGGATGAAGAAAGATGACATTTGAGATGATAATACAGGAGGAGACCAATGCAGTAGTATATCACAACACCAGCAATGTGCTGAAGTTCTCAGGTCAACCTACTAATGGGAGTGGGTGGGAGCTCTCCAGTGGGAAGAGGGAGCTGTATTATGAAAGTCCACTTCTGTAATAACTGAGGCTTGGTTCTTCTTTATGGAGGGTGATCAAGAGGAAGCTGATTTTTACAGTGGTCTCTCTGGATGATGAAACAGGAGCTTCCAAGAGTGGGCACTATTTGGGGGTCAGTAAAGGCCCCCTCAGAAGGTTATAGGTGAGCTAAGCCCTGTCAGGGCTGGTGAGAGTCATTCTGTAGGGTCTTCAGGTTATAAGCAGCAGCTAGGAACTTTTCCCCAAATAGTCACTGAGGGTCACATCAGAGAGAATTGAAGATGACAATGGGAAGAATACTTGTAACTAAATCTTGCTGAGTTTCTTTCTTGTCACAAGCCACTCTTCCATGACATTGTTTTGTCCCACTTTAGACAGACCACAACTTCTTTTTCCTAGACTGAGGTGTAAGATAGGAATAGATGCTGCCCCATTTCACCCCTCCTATCTCCAGCCACATGATCAGTGCACTTACCTGCACCAGGTCCGGTGTGAGGCGCTTGGCCTGCAGCCATTTCTGGAACCTTCTTGTTTTCCTCAAGACATGCTCAATGCTGCATGTTTTTGGGGCTGCTGCAGATGCACAGATTCTCTGGTCTGAGATTTCATTCTGGTGTTTGCTGATCAGCCTGCAGATCTCCACGGGACGCCAGGTTTTAGAATCATCTGAGTAATTTGCAGGGTAAGAAAGCAAGTAGTCCAGAGGCAGTTCAAGGTGGGAGGCCAGCCAGTTGTCAAACCTGGAAGAAGAGCCCTTTTAGGATCCACCTGGGAGATGGAGGGATGAAGCAGGGGCTAAGCAGAAACTAGTCACAGCACTGCCAGAGCCATGGCCAGCAGATCCCTGGGGGACAGTGAGACAGGGGATAACATCCAGTCTGATCCATTTCTCATTTCTAGACTGGGATGTTCCAAACTCTTTCTATGAGAAGACTACTTTTGTTTCCTCAAGCCTAGGCAAGTATATATGATGTCAGAATACATGCCACACACAGACTTTATTCTTAACATACCATCCCCACTTTACAGATGTGGAAACTAAAGCTCATAGAGCTTAAGTACCTTGCCAAAGGTCAGAAAATATGTAGCCAAACAGGGGTGAAAATCCAAGGCCCGCTGTCAGGAAAACCCATGATCTTTCCCCTTCTCTACCCTGGTTGCAGAAATAGCCCATCCTTTGACCAATAGCTGCATTTTGGAACTGTAGTTCTTAAAAAGGCCTGCATTGGGGAAACCACTGACTTTTAACATCCAACCCCAAGCAGCCCCATCAATTTTGCTTTCAGTCCAACGTGTAAGTCATCAGTACCAACTGAGTCACAGGGAACAGTGGCTGCTAGATGGTCACTAAATTCAAAGCCATCTGGAATCATGAGGTGTGTAATTTCACACAATGGCCTGGTCAGTCTTTAATCCTCCCTAGGGCAGAAACACTGGCCTATTACTACCTACTACCATCCAAAACCTCACCTTAACCTTTTTCTTCAGTCATTTCTCCAACTTTGTGCAGACCTTTCCATTAAGAAAGAATGTTAAAGCTCCTTCTGATTTATGTATAAAAATTACTGAGTTAACATTTACCTTCATTATTATTAATAATTGAGGGTCATACTAAAAATGAAAATTAGGCTTAGAAGATACATGATATATTTAATATAAATAAGCATCTTTAAATTCTTATTAATGAGTATTTTTGGGCAGCTTCATGATAAGTTTTGGAAGAATTAGCAGTTTGATTAGCCCTAAACCCTACATTATTTTGTTTCCTCACTTATATGACACAGCTTTATCCTAAGAGACTGCAAGCTTTTCAAGGAAGTTGCTCTAGTGGAAACAGTTGATAAGTACCTTCTGCAATTCAGGACCATTCAAACTGCAATGGAATTAGGTACAAAGAATCATGTTCAAGAATATTGCCACAAATTTTGTTAAAAATATGAAACACTGTGAACTTGCAATAAGTTAATTTTACTGGAATTTTCAGGACAACCATGGGAAATGATCCATTCTTCTGGGAGGATGAGGAAGGGCCTAGGTCTCTGAGGCAGGCCTGTATGCCTGTTTCCTGTAGCTCTTCCTGCTCATGGAGGTTCACCCTCCTCCTTCCATCCCTCCCCACCCAAAGTACCTGTGACTAAGGAATTACAACTAGGTGGCTATCTTAAAGAATGATTATAACAACACACATTTATGAAACACACGTGCTAGCCATTTTGCTGAATTCTTTTCATATACCAATTCAATTAAACCTTTCAACAAGCCTATGAGATCAATACTCTTATTAACCATACAGATGAGGGAACTGAGGCACATAGAAGTTAAATATTTGCCTAAAATCACACAACCAGGAATTGGAAGAAGCAACATTCAAGGCCCCAAAGCTTACAATTGTAACCATTTTGCCATTGCTTACTCCTCTATCATCATTTTACAAATTAGCTCTTAGGAATAAATTGATGACATTATTGGGGATTATAGCCAGCAGGTCCTTCAAAATCATTTGGTCCCTGTTCCTTTCCACATCATACTTTGAGGATGAGAAAACTGAAGGCTACTTGTCTGATGAGTGAGCCACAGACAATTAATGGCAGAGGAGGACAGATCTCAGGGCTTCTTATCTTCTATTTGGTGGGGGTGGTGTGAGGAGGAACTTCCTGCCCTGTGGGACAAGCTCATTGTTTTTTTTCTGTCCCCACCTCATGAGGAAGCTATGCTGAGAGAACAGCCCTGACTTCGTAGGTAACCTACAATGAATGCTTGGTGCATGTTTAGCAGTGGCTCAAGGCATCCCATAAGGATCAATTCAGGACAAACAAGTTTACAAGCCCCATTTCTCCCTCATTTAAAATGGTAATAAGTTTATGAAACTGAAGGAGAAAATGTATATTCCTAAGACTTTGATGACCTATTTTATTAAATAGAAGAAGTCAGTGAGAAAATGGGCCCTGCTTTTTAGTCACTAGACTATATTCATTTTATTCATTTGAAATTTTTATTCATTTTTATTTCATTTCAAAACATGTTAATATCCTGGAATTTGGAAAACCACAAAACACAGACAGCATTCAAATCTTTCTTTTGAACTGAGATCATGGGCATGTTTGAAGTGAGGCTGGCCAAGTCCTCATTGGATTGAAGTATGAAAAAGCAGGGCCAGTTTCTCAGAACTGGAAGGCAGGGTGTGTGTGTGGGCGAGAGCAACAACACCTAATGAGGATAAAATACCCTCTTCCGTTGCATACTTCTCATGCTTTCTTCCAGTTAAAGACTAATTCTGTAGACATGCCCTCCTAAATAGTTTTTGCTTCTCTTCCCTCTTCTCTATCTTTTAGCTTTGCACGGAACCCTTAAAACATCTTGCATTTTCCCAAAGCTCCCAGGCACAGTTCATACTTCTTAGAGCAATTTATAATGCTTTTTCTAGGCCTGTCTCCTGTTACTCTCATTATAAGCTTGCTTTGGTCTCACCAAACCACTGACTATTCTTGCTAAGCCACATCATTTTGGGCTTCTGTGCCTCCACTTACCTTGCCATGTGCTAATACCTTTGTCTAAGACACTTTCTTCCTCTTTCTTTACGGGACAATTCCTAACCAAGCCTTTAAAAACCAGACAGGTATCATCTCTTCTGATTCTCACTCCTTCATCTCCTAGTTGAGAAAAAATTTTCCTCCCACATGTTCTCATGATATCCTGTGCATTTTCTATAGTTCTCACACTCTGCTTTAACCATTGGTTTATGTCTCTACCTTTCCAATAGAAAGTAACCTCTTCAGTACTTAGTAGAATGCTTAACACCAAGTTAGTGCTGAATACATTTTAGTTGGGTTGATGGATGGATGGATGAATGGGTATTTGGATATACATATGGATAAGTGAGTAGAGGGATACATGGAGGGCTAGATGGATAGGATGCACAGAATGATGGTTGGGTGGAAGAATGCATGGAAGGATGCTTGGGTGAGTGGGTGGATGGATGGATGGGTGTGTATATGGATGATTGATTGAATGTGTAGATGGATCCTTTAGTCATGAGCTCTGGACCCTCCCAACACCTTGAATTGATTTGAGGAAGTGAGTTAGAACCATAATTACTCATCTTCTGGTGTGAAGGAGGCTGGCAAGGGCAAGGGAGAAAGGAAGGCAAATTCAAGCCTAATGATTTACTTATTTTAATGTGAGCCCTCTACTACTCAGAAGTATTTAGACATTCTTTACAAATTTGGGTTTGGGAGTACAGATGTAAGTCCCAGTGGATATAATAAAGAAGGTGAGGTAAGCCATCTGTCCTAGGAAGAGCATAGGAATTCCTATGAGTGATTCTGATCAGAAATACTGCCACTAAGTACTCCCCCCCTTCCCTTCTTTTAACCTGCACATACACAATACTGATCAATCAGATCCTGGTAGATGTCACCACTTAGTGTGATCACTTAGGATTTTGCATATAGGTACATTTTTAGTAGAAAGAATATGTAAATTAGTTTTATTCATTTTTCTAGCTTCTCCTAACTTTTCCATTCAAAATTTGAAAGTCAACATGGAATGCATGGGAAAATTGATACTGAAAACATTCAAAGGTCAGTGGTTGAGTATGGAAAGCATCAGATCCATTATTAACATTCTCACTAAAGAAAAGATAAGGGAAAAAAGAAAAGGTGACATTCATCTACTAATCATTTGTCTTCAGCCTACCCAGCCAGCCTAGGAAGATCATTCTCCATTTGTTGCTGAACAAAAGGCATTGTCTAATCCTTAGTGAAGACCAAGCATGCAGTATTAATGCTTGCCTGATTACAGCATTTCATCCAAATGTCTGAGAGATCTGTATAGGTTTCCTCCTAAGGTATCATCATAATCATTTTTAAAAGTGGAGAAATGTTTTGAGATTTAAACAAGAACAAGATGAACAAATATACCATTAGAAAGAGATGCAAAGGAAGAGAACTTGTAGACAATTTAGCAAAGAAGAAATACAAATGGCAAATAAGCCTGAAAAAAGAAAAGGACCCAACTCAGGAGAAATACAGTGTAAAATAGTAGTAACATTAAATATTTGTGTGTAAGAAGAGAGCTCTATAGGTAGAAGTTTCCATTTGGATATCTATCATATATATTTCTGTGTCAAAAAATACAGGACTTTTTGGATTTATATGATAGATAGATTTTAAGAGTTTGTCACAGGAATTAATCACTGATATATACAAAGGTCTAATTACAGGAATGGTCAACACCGCACTGTTTATAATACTGAAAAGTGAAAACCTAGTTGTCTCACAATAATGGATTAGTTAAATATTAACTTTGGTTGATTGATACAATTGAATATCATGAAGCCACTCAAAATCAAATTGTGAAAAGTTGTTTCCAAAATATTGTTAGATAAAAGTTTACAAAAGAGTACATACAACATGATCACATTTTGTTGAAAAAAATTTGTCCATCTTAGGAAAAAAAAGGTGGCAAGCATGATATACACCAAAATATTAACAAATGGGTGATCTCTTAGTGGAAAAATTATGTGTGATTTTCATTTTGTGGTTTCTTTAAGCAATATTTCCTAAAAATTCTAACTAAACAGGCATTACTTTCAAAATAAGAAAAATGTTATTTGTAATGTAGAGAAAAGGACTATAAACAAGTCCACACACCAGAACCACTGACTTTCTCTCTCTGCTCTTTCTGTGATAAGGAACATGCATTCTTCACATGGAGAGCTCTAAACCCCAATCTGCCCTGCCTGGTGCTTTCCTGCTTGCATCAACACACTTCCCTTTCAGGCACACATGGAAAATGAATTCTGAGGGAGCTTAAGTCATATCCTGAACTTGAACAGCACACAAACTTATTTGGGGATATGCTTCCTGAATATGGCCAATACCTGCCTGGTGAGAAAAACTTTATGAATTACCAGCTGGTGAAGAGTCAACTGCAAGATTCACTTACTCTTTGTTTACTTATTTAGAGGAGGATGTGAACCAGGAGCTCTTCCTTCATTGAATCCCTTAATTTCCTTCCCTTCTGTCTTTAAATGTGTCCATATTCTCACTGCCTCCTTTCTCCAAGGAATCAGCCCCACTTTACCTGTGTTCTTGGTCCTCTCCATCCCATTTCTTAGGTAGGAAATCTTGACCACTTTCTATATCTCCATCTTTACTTCCTCTCACATTGGTAGAGTTGGAAACAAAATGACTCTTTAGCTGAACCTACTAGCATCCTTTCTGTCCTGCTTTGTTACCAATGACCTTTCTCCTGGTCTAAGAGAGCTGGTCTGACAGCCCCTGCCAGCACCACAGGTCTACCCTGAACACTTCTTTCCATAAGGTCTTCTCAAAACGCAAGTGTCATCTTGTCCCTACCCCACTTAACTTCCTCACCACTACTTGCAATAGAGCTTCCCCAGTTGTGTGTATGTGTGGGTGGGTGGGTGGGTGGGTATGGGGGTGGGTTCAGCTTTCAAAATGCCTTAAAAAATAGTCTAATAAGTAAAGCCCACATCAACTCCATTCAATATCTCTCATCTTGCAAAGGAAGTTCAACACTTTTGATTGATATTTTCTATTTGATATTTCTGTTTAGTAACTTAGTTGAATAATCAAATATGCCTTTGGTTAATACACACTAGAAATAAAACACTGTAAATCAATGCTTTTTGTTTAGTCACCAAATCTTACATACCTGTGGTAGTCCTTGGGACTGGGCAGAGGAGAAGAGGCCTATTACAAAGGGTCTTTAGTATTGAAAAGGCTGGGAATCACTTGTCCACAGGCTAAGATCCTAATTCCTGGGCACGGTATTCAAAACTTCCTGCACCATCTGACTCTTCCAAACTTTCTCCTTCTGCCACACCTCCACATATACCCAATGCTCCAGTTACTAAGTGTTTTTCACCTCTTCCCATTCCTCTGGATCTTTGCTTAAGTTGATTCTTCTACCTTGAGCTTTTCCCCTCCCACTAAATTTCATCTTATCCTTTAAGGCCTTGCTCAGGATGAATTCCCCTGGAGAAACATTTCCCCAGTCCCCAATTGGAATTAATATCCCTTTCCTTGAGCTCCCAGAGGTCCTTTACACTTCACTCCTGGTCTGCAACAGACCAGGCCTTATTATTGTTATTTGTAACATGGCTTTCTCCTCCTAAACCCTTTGAGGGCAATGACCAGTTGTAGCAATGTTGCTACAGCACCTGCTGGGTCTTGGCCATGTTAAAGGCTCATTGACTATGTGTTGACAGGCTTGAATTTCAGAGTGTGATCTCATTTTTTGAAGAGAACCATGTGGATCACAATTTACTAAACCTGAGTTTCTGTCTGATCAAGGCAACATCTCACAACAGAAAACCGGTTTAAAAACTTTGGAGCAAACTACACTGGCTTGAATCCCATCTCTTCCACTTATCAAATGGTGACCTTGAGCAAGTCACTTAATCTTGGTACGTCTCAGTTCACTATCTGAATAATGAGTGAAAATAACTCCCAGGATGGTTGTGAGGAGTAAATAAAAATAGCTTTTAAATGTCTGTCACATAGTAGACTTTTTATGAATTTTATTTTCCTCCTTCCATGAGAAGTGAACTTGATTAGTGCCATAGTCCCAGGCAACTCCATTCATAAAAAAGAAAACTTTAGTCCTGGTTGGTGTGACTCAGTGGATTGAGTGCTGCCCTTTGAACTGAAAGGTTACCAGTTTGATTCCCAGTCAAAGCACATGCCTGGGTTGCAGGCCAGGTCTCTGGTTGGGGGTGTGCAATAGGCAACTGATCAATGTTTCTCTTGCACATCGAGGTTTCTTTCTCTTTCTCCCTCCCTTCCCCTCTCTCTAAAAACAAGCAAACAAACAAACAAACAAACAAACAAATAAATAATGTTTTAAAAAAGAAAACTTTAAGCTTTCACTTCAGAAGGATACTTTGGATTTAGCATTTAGGGCTGTAATTTGGCTTCATAACTTACCCCCTTCTCCACCCCAACTACAACCCATCACTACTATGATTAAATGGCTTTGCTTCTACTCCTGTCTATAAATTACATCCTGGCTCGTTTTCAACAAATTCCTGGACATCTGTACATCATGGGAATGCAATTTTGCCCCTCAGTTATCTGATTGAAATTCTGACCTTATTTCTTCTTTAAAAAACTTCTTGCAAATAGATGTTCCAATGCAGGCATTGCATTTATCAAGGCCGAGGAAAGTCCTTCCAAAATTGTATCTGGTTCTGACTTGGTGCACCAGAGGAGAAGGAGGAGCTGATGAGGACACAGAACAGCTCAGGAGTGAGACCCAAAGCAGCAGGGCTGACCAGCCCAGGCAGGGAGCAGCAGCCTCAGGGCCCAGCCAGGACTCCATCAGGGCCCAGGACGCCAGCTGCAGCTTTCAGCTGTCCGCTCAGGGCTGTGCTGAGGTAAGTCTTGGCAAAATAAAGGGGGCTGGCCTTAGGGTGTTGACCCCATCCCAGCCTCCCACATTTCTGCTTGAGGATGCTAAGGAGCTTGGGGCTAATGAGGCTGGGGAGGAGATGAGGAAGTACATGGAGGATGCTGATAACACGGTTTCCAGAGCTACTCTTCCTCTGCCTGTGGTGGCTGCTGCAGGCTGGGAGGGGCTGACTGGCAGATTTTGGAAAGGACAATGATTAAGGCTTCCCTGTGCAGTCCTTTTGACAAACACGGGATATCCTGGCTGAGCAGGAAAGTCCATGCAGGATGTATATCCGACCTGGGTTCCACCTGGGAGTTTCAAAGGACCCACAGGAACTCTGCCTTCACTGTTTTAATTCTGGATCTCTGTGTCCCTATGTGTGTGTGCACACACATGCACACACACGCACACACACACCAATTTCCCCTCAGTGGATAATTTTCAGTGGATAATTTGGCCTGCCTCTTGACCAAACATTCCTCTTTCATTTGCGCCATATTTTGGATGTGAAATAACTAGAAGTCAGTTTACTGTCCATTAAGTGGCACATTTAATACTGATTTGAACAGTAAAGGCTTTGCTGCTTAGAGAATAGAAAAACTCAGCTTAGTGTATGCTTCAGTTCCTCTTTTTCATCTGAGAAGTAGAGCAGAGAAGGAACTTGGTGGCTTCTGGTTGGATGAGGGGAACACCAAAAAGATCTCACTGCCTGAACCTGAACCTGAAGCTGTGTCCAACCCCTGTACCCCCATGCCTGAAAGTCCCTCCTCCTTTTACCACCCTGCCTCACTTCTCAGTGGATGGCTTGATTTGGTGAGATTCACCTTCTTCCTTACACCAAGATAAGGTCCACAGCATGGAGTAGACAGGACTACTAAATTAGGAATAGAGAACCTATGAGGACCATATCAGGGAAGGCATGTTTAGGTCTGGAGAAGGAAAGAGGAAGGAAAGAGGGGGACAGGGTTGGCTTCAGGAGAATTGGGGAATTTTACTAAAGATTAGTGAGAAGAAGAGGATAATGGAAGTTTTCTGATAGTTAAGCATGTGTTTACTAGCCAACTGCATATCCTCCTCAGTCAAATGTCTGATGGTGTTTGTTTTTTATTGCTGTATCATGAGAATTCTTTGTATATTCACTAGTCCCTTGTTGGATATGTGGCTTGAAAGTATTTTATTCCAGATGGTAACTTGTTGTTCATCTTCTTAACAGGGTCTTTCTCAGAGTAAAATTTTTTATTTTGATGAAGTCCAATTTGCCAATTTTTCCTTATATGGATCATGCTTTTAGTATGAAATGTAAGAACTCTTTGCCTAATTCTAAGTCTCAAAGACTCTCCTATAGTTTCTCATGCTGTAAATGTTTTACAGTTTTGTATTTTACATTTTGAATTAATTTTTACATAAGATGTCTTTAGGTCAAGGTTCATATTTATGCTGATGGAAGACCAACTGCTACAGCACCATTTGTTGAAAAGACTGTCTTTCCATTGAATTGGTTTTGCACATTTGTCAAAAATCAGTTATCTGTACTTGTATGTGGATATGTTTGGGTTCTCTATTCTGTTCCATTGATTTATGTGCCTATTCCTCTGTCAATAACACACCGCAATCTTGATAGTTATAGTTGTAAAATTAGTGTTGAAACTGAGTACAGTGATTTCTTCCACTTCTTTTTCAAAACTATTTTAGTGGTTTGAGTTCATTTGCTTTTTCATAAAATTTTTATTTTATTTCTTTAAATTATATTTTATTGATTATGCTATTACAGTTGTTACAATATTTCCCCCTTTGTCCTTCTCCACCCAGCACCTCCTGCTCCCTGAGGCAATCCCCATACTATTGTTCATGTCCATGGGTCATGCATATAAGTTCTTTAGCTACTCCATGTCCTATACTGCATTTTAAATCCCCATGCTTATTATTTAACTACCAATTTCTACTTCTTAATCACTTCACCCCCTCACTCATTCCCCAACAACCGCCTCCCATCTGGCAACCATCGAAATGTTCTCTGTATTCACGATTCTGTTTTTCTTGTTTGCTTACTTTGGTTTTTAGATTCAATTGTTGATAGACTTGTTTTGTTTGTTTCTTTTTGCTATTTTATTGTTCATAGTGTTGATCTTGTTTTTCTTAAATAAGTCCCCTCAACATTTCATATAATAATGGTTTGGTGATGATGAACTTCTTTAGTTTTTTCTTGTCTGGAAAGCTCTTTATCTGACTTTTGAGTCTAAATGACAGCCTTGCTGGGTAGAGGAACCTTGGCTGTAGACCCCTGCTTTTCATGACTTTGAAAATTTCTTGCCGATCCCTCTAGCCTGCAAAGTGTCTTTTAAGAAACCAGCTGACAGTCTTATGAGAACTCTCCTGTATGTAACTAACTTCTTTTCTCTTGCTGCTTTTAAGATTCTCTCTTTATCTTTAACCTTTGGCATTTTAATTATGATGTGTCTTGGAGTGGGCCTCTTTGCATCCATCTTGTTTGGGTCTCTGTGTTTATTAAACTTGCATGTCTATTTCCTTCACCAAATTAGGGAAATATTCTTTCATTATTTTTTCAAATAGATTTCCAACTTTTTGCTCTTTCTCTTCTCCTTTTGGTACCTCTATGATGAAAATGTTGGAACATTTGAAGTTGTCCCAGAGTCTTACACTATCCTCACTTTTTTGTATTCTGTTGTTCTGATGGTTTTTTTTTTTTGCTTCCTTATGTTCCAAATCATTGATTTGATTCTTGACTTCATCCAGTCTACTGTTGATTCCTTGCAAATTGTTAAGTCAATTAGTGTATCCTTCATTTCTGACTGGACCTTTTATATGCTGTTGAGGTCCTAACTAAGTACCTTGAGCATCCTTATAACCAGTGTTTTGGGCTCTGCATCTGATAGATTGCTTATCTCTATTTTCCTTAGTTCTTTTTCTGGACTTTTGATCTGTTCTTTCATTTTGGCCATGTTTCTTTGTGTCCTCATTTTGGCAGCCTCCCTGTGATTTTTTCTATGTATTAGGTAAAGATGCTTTCACTCCATGACTTGGTATGGTGGCCTAATGTAGTAGGTGTTCTTTAGGGTCCAGTGGCACAGCCTCTTCTGTCACCCAAGGTGGGTACTCAAGGTACACCCTTCACATGGGCTGACTACATCCTCCTTTTGTAGTTGAGCCTTGATTGCTGTTGGCAGATTAATGGGTGGGATTTGCCCAGGCCAGTCAGCTGCAAGGACTGGCTGTGATCACTGACCACTATCCTTCATCCTCCGTGGAGGATGAGCTGTGCAGGAGCAAGGTGGTGGTACTCTGACATGGTCTATAGTTTTCCACTGGGTGCACACATTCTGGGGTTTCCTCGGTGGTGCAGGCCAAGGTCAGCCCCCATCTGTGTTCTTCCTGGGCCACACTGTATGGGCTATAAAGCAATCTGAGATGGCTCCTACTTGTGCTGAGCTTGGACATTCCCAGGTGAAATGAAGCTGTGAATCTAGGCTGGCTGCTACTAGTGCCAGTCCTGGGACCACTTAGCAAGTGGTATGGGGGATTGGGCATTCCCTGAGGCTGGCTGTTGCTTGTTTGAGAAGATTTAGGAAATTGTGAAGCATGAGCCAACATTAGCCATTCATATGGAAAAGCCACTGTTAACAGCTTAGGTGGGCCCATAAGTTGGGTAAGGCAGAAGAACCTCAAGGGCTCTCCAGGTTGGGGCAAACAGTGTTAGCCAGGTTGCTGGAGTCTCAGATATGGGATCTGCCTGCTGACTCTGTGGCTTTATGGGGGACAGTTCAGAAAAGTTACAATGGCCACTGACCATCTTTCTGTTTGGGAGAAAGCTGTCCCTCAGCTCTCTCATTGATGCCAGACACTCCAGTTTCTCCTCCATGCCACTAGTGTCTTTCAAGCTGGTATCCTGGTGCTGGATCTCAGAAGGAGTGAGTCTGAGTAAGTCCGTGTGTGGGTTGTTTAAGAGGAACTGCTTGGAACTCCAGTAGCTTTTTCTTCAGGCTCAATCCCCACTGGTTTTTACAACCAGAAATTATGGTGACTTATCTTCCTGGCACTGGAACACTGGGCTGGGGAGCCTGGTGTTGGGCTGGGACTCCTCACTCCTAAAATATCCTTTCTGAATTTTTATCTATGACACATGTATGTGGGATCAGTCCATTCCGTGTCTCCACCTTTCCTACCAGTCTGCATGAATGTGGTTTCTTTAATTTCTTTAATTTCTGAAAGTTGCTGGACTTTCATCAACTCAACTTCTGACAGTTCCAAGTTCTGGTTGTTCTGTAGTTCAGTTGTAATTTTGATGTGGTTGTGCAAGGAGGCAAGCTGTGTTTATCTATGAGTCCACCTTGAACAGAAGTCCATAAAAATTTTAGAATACCCTTGTCTATATCTATAAAAATATTGCTGGAATTTGATAGGAACAGAGTTAAATTTGTATATTAATTTGGTTAAATTTATTCCTAAGTATGTTATTGTTTTTTTATGCTATTGTGAATAGGATTCTTTTTCCAGATATTTTGCTGTTCATGCATAGAAATGCAACTTATTTCTGTATATTGATTTTGTATTCTGCAATTCCACTAAATTTGATGATTAGTTATAAAAGGTATTTTTGTGAAGTCTTTAGTGTTTCCTACACATAAGATCATGTCATTTGCAAACAAAGACAATTTTACTTCTTCTTTTCTGATTAGAACATCATCTCTCTATCTTCTATCTATCTATGATCTATCTATCTACCTACCTACCTATCTATCATCTATCTACTATATCTATCATCTATCTATTTATTTTTGCCTGACTGCTCTGGTTAGGACTTCTATTACTATGTTGAATAAGAGTGATAAGAATTGGTATCCTTCTCTTTGTCCTGATCTTAGAGAAAATGCTTTTAAACTTGCACTGTTAAGTGTGACGTTAGCTGTAAGGTTGTCATATATGGTCCTTATTGTA